CTCAGCATTGCTAGAATAATAAGTGAGTTACATTTGGGCTGGGTTGTTTGTTGGCAGGGCTGATGGAATATAAATGTATTCAAAGGACAAGTGCTTTGCCTGCCAGGATTCATCTTATCAGGTTGAGAAAGAGTAAATCAAGAAATCCTCAAGCAGGGAGCACGGGAACTCATCCAAAGGCTTAAAATTGTTAAAGCTGCTCCCTTTTCCTGTACCTCCTCCTTCCTTTCTTGCCATTCATCCTCGAGCAAAACAAGAGTCTGGTGTTGCTGTTCCTCTCAGTAGTAATACTTTCCTCCCAAAAAGTGCATTGAGAATGGTTCAACGGTTCTCTTAGACCTGCTGCTATATTTAGAGAAGCAAAAAAAGAGATGCTTCCCAACACTAAAAAATGGTTGATGCAGACATACCAAAGTGATTTGAAAGGCTACATTGGATGTGACTCTAAAGTGTCCATAGACCTTTTTTTTCCCTCCTTTATATTGTTCCAGGAGATGTCAGTGTTACACAGATTCATCGGTCAGCTTTTATCTGGTGAAAGCTGACAGTCATAATTTAAGTACCCTGTTGGATTTTTGTTTTCTGAGATTGGGGTTGCTTTAATAATCTAACTGGGGGATTTTTGTTTAGATAGGCATTAATAACTAGTGTCTCTTACGAATGTGATGCTCCATCATAGGCTCAGTTAGTATCATACTCACATTTGTAATCTCTTCCATTATAGATCTTTCCAAGGTAAAACTGATGAGATTTGATGATCCTGTGTTAGGACCTCGTCGTGTTCCTGTCCTGGGAAAAGAACACATGGAGAAGACCCCTATTTCTGATCATGCTGTATTTCATGTGGACCTCATGAGCAAGAAAATTCACCTCACTGAAAATGGATTAAGGGCAGATATTGGTGATTCCATCATCTATCTGGTTCATTAAATTGCAGCCAGATTTGGCTATTATCCACCCTGGTTGAGGGATATCATTAACCTGATTGTGTATACAAATTGGCCTTGAGAATCTCAGAATGGACTGAAACAACTGTCATTTCTAACCATTGAATTTTGCATGTAATCTTGCACTAAGTCATCTTTGAGACCTGGCTATAATAAAACATTTTTCCCCCTCTTTTGGATCTAAGTTGAGAACTAATATTGAATGTCTCAGAAGCTTCCTATCTTTTCATTGTTCATACTGAGCTATCAATATGATATTTTTACAAGGTGGTGCTTTGTACTGTTTATAAAGGTCTATGGAGTATCTAATAGCTATTAAAAATGTATAAATTTTTGGAGTAAGACAGATGTAAGCACAGAATCAGAGGCAAAGGTTTTGGCAACTTTAGCCTGCATACTTTTAGAGGCTTCTTAAAAAAAAAAAAGAGTTGGACTGTTTGATGTTTTTACAAGTCTCTATTTGAAGGGAGAAAAATCTTATGATGGCATAAAGAACAAATATAAAAATATAAAGTTGAGTATGATCAGGAGGTGTTTGATAGAAATGCTTGAAGAATGCTTGATAGAATGTTTGAAGAATGCCTGACAACTGAATGCAGACTACATTTCTGTTCTGTCCACACATTTATGACTTTAACAAAGATCAGAAATTGGTGACTTTTCTGTTTGAAGGATGTATTTGAATGGAACCACAGTGGTTTGTGAAATTTCAGAGAGAACTTCCTTGTTCTAGAAGTACCTATTTAGATTTAACAGTACTCTTTTTTTCAGATCAGTAGCAAATTTCCAGCAATTTACTGCATCTAGGATTAAGTTGAACAATAATTTAGTATTTTTAAAGGAAATATAATATCAGAAATTTTTTTTAACCCAATTTGTCTTTTCATCAGATGATGTTTAAATTAAGTTAGATGTTGACTGTACTATGAGGGCTTAACATTATCCTTGGCAGAAAGATTTCATATTGTCTGTGCCTCATTTCTTTCCAAGGGGAAATATAATTTGAAGTTGGAATGTTTCTACTTCTTCCAGTTTTCAATGTGAGTATTCTAAGACAATTAAAGAAACTGAACTAAAATCTAGGGATCTCTGCAGTCCCCCACCCTGCCTGGTCCATTCTCTACTATGGATCCATGTACTCTTTCTTTGATGAGCTGCTGGTGTCTCAGTTTTGTAACTCCAGTTCACTGTGCCAAGTTGATTGCCTGATCATAGAATTTTAAGACTGGAAGAGACCTTTAGATATAAATCATATAGTTCAGGCACCCCACTCAACTATTATAAATAGTCACTAGTCTTAATGACACCAGAGTAACTCACGACATATGATCACCAGCTATGTGGTTTTCTGCTTTGAATTGTTCGTTTTGGGCTGATACGTGTTACTTCTCCTTGCCAGGTTCAGGCTGTGTTACTCCACGCATGTTGCCTTTGCTGTTTGCTGAGCGATAATAGTGGATATTTACCTAGTATGTTAAAGTTTGCCAAGTATTTATACAAATTTGTGTATATATTTGTCACCTTAACTTGAGCCTCAGAAGAACCTTTTGAGATATTTTTATCCCCATCTTTCAGATGAGAAAATAGAGTTTAGAGAGGTTAAGGAACCTCATAGTCATATAGGTAATAGAGAATAATGATAATACCATGCTGTGTGCTGAGAGCTTCACAAACATTATCTCATCTGGTCCTCACAAGCCATCAGTGGCCAAGTTCTTCCTGATTCTCGGTCTAGCCCTTTTCCCAGTACATTGCGTCAAGTAGCTCTTTATGTGAATATACCTGATATCTTACCTTTAGTTTGTTAGGTATTTATTTATTTTAAAAATAAATGTTTTATTAGTGTTTTCTTTTTTTTCCTTTTTTGGCTAGGCAGTCGGGGTTAAGTGACTTGCCCAAGGTCACACAGCTAGTAGGTGTCAAGTGTCTGAGGCCACATTTGAACTCAGGTCCTCCTGATGCCCAAACCGGAGCTCTATCCACTGTGCCACCTAGCTGCCCCCTTTATTAGTGTTTTCTAAAAAATATCATTGTCACTTCCCCACAATGCATCCCCTTGAACCCTAGGCCTTACCCTCATAACAGAGAAGTGTAGCTAAGGCAAACCAGCATATCAGCTGTACTAGACAGCATCAGCCTCATTCCACATCTCTCAGTCATGAGCAGGGAAGTGTGTCTGGCTGTCAGTCCTCCCCGCAGTCCAGATTGGTCATTGCTTTGATCCAAGTTCTGATGCCTTTCCAAGTTGTTTTCCTTTCACCATCGTGGTCACTGTGTACCTCATTCTTCTAGTTCTGCTTATTTCACTTCCTATAAAATTTACCAAGTTTCTCTGAATTCATCACTTTCATCATTTCTTGTGATACAACAAAATTCCATTATATTCATATACTGTAATTTGTTCAACCATTTCCCTGGTTTATGAGTCCTCTCCATCAGGTATTTATTGAGTGCCAGCTATGTGCCTGGGAACTCCAGTAGTATAAAAACCACACAAGGTGTACATAATCCTTGCCTTTAGGAAGTTTGCCATCTTCTTGGGGGTACAAAACACGCATACCTAAAGCAGTGGGCAGACAATTAAAATCATACTTGCTCAAGTGCCAACATGTGTGACATAAGAGAAATACTTTTGGGAGATCAGTTAGAGCAACTGGGGGAAGTTTCATAGGTTAGATGACTTATTGGCCTCGTAGACTAGAAAATATGTATATGGCACAAATAGAAGCGATGGTGGAAACGGGGAAGAGGGGACAGTGAATCTCAGCCATGGGGAAATGGTGTCATCCAAAACGTGGATGTAGAAATGTGCGTGGCTTTTTTAGGAACTAGTGATAGGTATGACGAGGAGCCACAGCAACGTTCTAAAATGCAGCCATTATGAAGCACGGAACAGCACAATGCCATCTGTCCTGCTGATCTGCCCTAAAAAAGAACTTATACCTTTCCATCTGCCCTATAGATGGATTCTTCCCTCTAAATATTCTTTCCCCTAGAGTATGAGTTTCTTGAGGGCAAAGACTACGCTTCCTTTCTGTTTGTATCACCTGGACCATGCTTAGCACATAGCAAACTTTGAGTAAATGCTTTCTTATTTCATTCCCTCATGTCTTCTTAACGTGGATCAGTTGTGTCTCTTTGAGTTTGTTAGGCAGGTTCCTGTTAAGGAAGGTCTCATTGTTAATAACTTTTTTTTTTTAAATATCAAAGGTCTTTTAAAAAAAATTGTTTTGGACATGGTTCTCCATATTGAATTTTTAAGTGACTGGAGAATTATTTCAGTGTTTGCCTTCCTACAATAGTGTTGATTGCATAATAATGAATAGCTTTAAGTATCAATCAACAATTATTTATCAAGTGCTCACTGTGTTCCCAGAAGTGTGTGAAACATTTAGTATGAAAAAAAAATTTTGGTGGATGGGTAGAAGGAGTTGACAGTGCAGTTGGAGTGTAACACAGGGAAATGAACACATTTTGTAGTGCTGTGCTTATGCACCAAGGGCAAGACTTAGATGAGTCTTGTTTTGTTTACATTTGAGATATCTTTTCCCTCTGCCCCCTCTTCCCTTTCTTTTTGAGTTTCACATAGATTTTACTTTTAAAGTTGTAGAATAAATGTGGTGCGTCTTAGCACAGCGCAGTAGGCTATTTTAGGACTTGGTGCTTATGAAATAAATGCTACTAAGTATACCCTTGTTTACTTCTCTACTATGACTCAGTTTGTTGAAAACTATAGTTTTTTTGAGTTTTATATCCAACTATTACTTTTAATAAAAACTTGTACCATGTGAAAAATTGGTTCTTAGAAAAATAATGAAGCAGGGAACGTAGGATCCAGGCTAGGCAGAAATTTAGGGTTCCAAGTTTCAAAGTGTATGCCATGGAATGAAAAGGACAACTGATGTTGATCGGCACTAACCACGTTGATGTAAGACTGAGACTTGATGCTAAAGTGATACTCTCTTACACTGTAACCTTTATAACAGGTTAACCTCCGTGTTCACAGTGGGATCGTCCCTGTTCTTTAAGGAAATAAGATTTGTTGGACCTAGCATTATGACCTCATTTTCCAGAATACTGACATGACATTCTTAAGAAGAAAAGTTAACTCTGGATCAGCTGAAGTTTAGAATCATCATCTAGCTTACTGTCAAAGGCCTAACTGAACTCTTTCCTCCCCACTCCTCCCACCCTCCTTTATAAATTGATTTGGAAATTTTATTTCTCTAACTGTACTATAGATGCTTCTTTGACGGCTGTTCCGACACCACTGATGCTTTCACTCATGAGATCGGAATATGAGAGTCTTTGTATTTCTGACCCAAGGCAAGGAGTAGGGTGAGTTGGCTTTTATCAACCTTTGCTCTCCATTTGGAATAACAAATCAATCCCTTCTTATAAGGGTCTAGGGAAAAGAGAGAGATTTCAGTATATTATATGAAAGGCCCAGGCTTTGAATGAAATTGCTTGCTAACCTTTCTTAAGTGTCCTTGAAGCCAGAACAGCTGATTGATCCCTTTAGGCCTAACTGGCTAGTGAAAAAGGATGATTGGATCTGAGTGGAAGGAGACAGGTATCTCTTTCATCAAAACTTTGAATTCTGAACTCTACCCAGTTGTTTCTTGGTACATGATGGAACATCCTCCCTTTTGAAATAATTTAAAATGTTCTGGCTTCAGCTAAAGTATCTAAAATAATGAGGTGTTAGTTGAAGCTAGAAGCTTTTAGCAAAGCAAGTTGTGATTAGATATCCAGGGCATTGGCATGTGTGTTGAATCCTAATCCCAGGCATCCGCTTTCAGGGAGCGTTAAGTTGGTGTAGAATAAGAAACAGGAGGGGTGGAGCACATTAATAATGCTAGACTAGGCAGAGGTATACCAATCACCTCCCAACACCTTCAACAGATCTAGACCGTGAACAAATATAGATTCCAACAACCTGGGGTGGGGGCCTTGTCTCTCCTCCGAAAATCCTACTGAAAAATGAGTGCTAAGATACTGAGGTGATATCTGTGCCAGGTAAAATGATAACTAAATATTGACCCTCCCCCTCCCCCTTTTCTTTCAGAAAAAGATACTAATCAGACTTATGTAGGATTGCCACATGCATCTCTAATTTCCTTGAGCAGTGAGCCATTTAAGTGAAAAATATGCTGTGGTTGAATGAGAAGAAGATAGCTACCATAATTTAGAAGGTTCTATGGCTATCCACCTTTCCTACTGCAGCTAAACTTGTACCTGTGCTGCAGTGCTGGGTGATTTTCACTGAGGTAATTTATTGGCTCAAAAGCTGCATTAGAAGCTATAGCTAAACACCAGCTCTGAGTAGCAGCAGCTACTCTACCTTTCTATCTCCTCAGAAATAATTTTACATTTCACTTTCAAGGCAGGCGAAATGATAGTTTAGGACTAAAATATTACAGCCAAGGTATGTGAATGACAACTATCTTAAAAATCAGTGAAGGCCCAGTAAATAAATTAAGTGAGAAGAATCCTCCTAGACTTAGAAATTAGGCACAATTACCTAGTATTTTTGTTAAGAAGTAGCTGCCTACTGAGAATGAGGACAGGCTTGCTAGCAGGAATAACATATATTATTCACATAATGCTGAGAAAGAATAAAAAAATTATTTCATGACTGCAAACATCAACTTGTTCCTTTCAGGGAAATCCAGTCCAGTTGCTCAGCCCTCAAAAAATTCCTTCAGTAAAGTAAGTAATTGGAAGCCCTTAAGTGAAGTAAAGTTGTAGCATTCCAACTTAGGAGGCAAATAGCTTGGGCTTGCACAGGGAGATGCAAGTAACTTTTTGGACACCACTTACTTCTTCATCATTTAGCACCTAGGACTCTGACTTTAATGAGAGAATGAGAAACCTAGTGAGTGTTAGGCGGCTTACAACTACAGGTGGGAAAGACTTGGAAGTAGGAGTGGCATGAATAAAGAAGATGAACAACGGACTGAACCATAGTCGTGTTTGCCACTAGGTCCTTCTCTTCCTCCTCTACCCCTTAGCAATACTTAGTTTAATAACATTTCCTATAATGCAACATTCTTCCTTAGGAAATAGTGTTGTGTTTTGGAAGGAGCACTGGTCTTGCAGACCTAGGTTAAAATAGTGCCTTCCAAACTTACTAGAGAGGTGACCGTGGGTAAGCCACTTAACCCACAGATTCTTCATCTATAAAATGAGGGATTGAAAATGCTTGCACTGTACTTCATAAGGCTGTGAGAGAAGCAGTTTGGAAACCTGGGACTGTAGAAACGTGTCATGTCATTATTATTATTATTGTTTTATTTAATCATCACCTTTGACTTTACAGGAGCCATATACCAACACAACCTGTGATGACTCAGCCTGGCTGGGGTGTCTATGACAGGACCACCATCACAACTGTTGCACAGACTTCAGGGGATTGGAGCACTAGCCTCTTCAATGTTTGCAGTGACAAAAAAATTTGTATGTTTCTTCCCTACTTTTATAATAGTCTAAGTTGCTTTTAGTTTTCCCTCACAAGGCAGCAGAGTCCAGAGCAGGGATGGGGAACCTGTGGCCTCGAGGCCACATGTGGCCTTCTAGGTCCTCGGGTGCGGCCTATTTTTTACAGAACAAATCCTTTTATTAAGGGGATTTGTTCTGTGAAGTTTGGATTCAGTCAAAGAGCCGTACTTGAGGATCTAGAGGGCCACATGTGGTCTTGAGGCCACAGGTTCTCCACCCCTGGTGCAGAGGACCACGGATTAGAGTTAAGTGAGATCAGCATAACTGACCTGATTTCTTACTTCTGCCATATTTTCCTCCATTCTAGTATCTCTGTAGCTCAAATTTGTTCATTTCTCTTTTGCTTTTTTTTTTTAGAAAAATTGTCCATCATGAATTCAGTTTTTTCTTATCTGCTAATTGAGTTTTTCGTTTCTGTAGGAAGAACTTCTAAATTCTGATTTATATTCATTTGTAATTTTTTTCTTTTTTTTTTTTTTTTTTTGCTTTTTGGTGAGGCAGGGTTAAGTGACTTGCCCAGGGTCACACAGCTAGTGTTAAGTGTCTGAGGCTGGATTTGAACTCAGGTCCTCCTGACTCCAAGGCCAGAGCTCTATTCATGGTGCCACCCAACTGCTCCCGTTTGTAATTTCTTAACAATTTCATTTGTCTTTTGAACCATTCTTGAATTTCTTGTTGTTCCAGGTTGTCTTGGGAGTCCAGAAGAGTCAGTGTTTCATCCTGTATTGGGTCACTTTCCTTTGTCCTTAATATTTGTGAAGAGTATTGTAATCACTTTGATGATTTAGTATTCATCATTCCTTCTAGTTTTAGGATCCTCTGTGTTGATGTATCTGTTTGTGCTATGGGTTTTTAATCTTCAAATCTTTGATACTTCAGCCTTTTTTCCTTGTATTTCTTTGTCGTTTACTTTCTGACTCCTCTCCCTTTGCTGGTAGGTATACTTCCAGACTAGGCTGAAAGACTGTTTGGGGACTTAGGATTCACCTGCCTCAGTCTCTCTCCTGAGGAGATTCAGGGGCAATAGGACTGACCCTGAACTGGATTTCAGTCCCCTTTCCTTCATACTCAGTACAACCACCCATTCTTGGCCCCTTGCCCCGGTTTCTCGTCTCTCCTTTCTTTGCCCCAGTTTTTCATCTCTCCTTTCTTTGGCTTCACTAATTTCAGTACCTTCTGCTTTTTTGCAGGGTGGGGAGGGTGTATTGGGAAGACTCTCTGAAGCTTTGGGGATCTTTAACCTAGGGCTGGTCCCAGGTAGAAGACAACCTGCTTTCAGCTCCATTGCCCTTTTTCTTTATGTGGCTGGGCAGACTTGGAGTTGTTATGGTGGACTGAGATGATTGGGGGGTGGGGTGTGCTGGTCAGATCTCTGAATTAGGAGAGGATCCCACAATAGATCCTTACACACATGTGCATCCTTACTGGGAATATGAAAGCTGGTGGGGAGAAAGGTTTGGTGTTGCTGAATTACTTCTTTAGGGGGTAGTGTTCTATGGTGTTAATGCATAAGGATTTTACTTTGTTAGAGCTCTCTTTTTCTGTCCTATAATTGCTCTATACCTGGTGCATAATTCCTCTTTTTGGAGGTCTTGGGAGTTAATGGGTGTCTAAAGAAAGTGTCTAATCCACCATCCTGTTGGTCTAATGAACTTGAAGTTGTTCTAAGTTGCTACTGAATCAAAATGACTCACTTGATCCCTGGCAGAAAGCTTCTTAGTTTTCAGATCACCAAAAACCTCACTGGACTCTGGATGATGTTATGCAGATACCAAGTGTACCACCTGACTTTGGACCCCCTTGCTATTGTTAGGATTTGGTGTAGTTGATTGGGAATTAATCAGTTATGTAACTTAGTTTGTGCCCCTGTACGGTCCATTCTCTGCTCCTAGATCACAAAAGAGACTCATAAATCCGATAGCAAGAATATTTAATTAAGATATGAAACAACTTAAATAACAAGGAATGGCCTCAAATAGCAAAAAAATGTTCACTGTTTCCACATTTCACAAGTAGAAGCTAACTCCTCTTCCTCTAGGAGAGTTATCTAATTCTCCAGCAGAGTGGGCAGATACAGTTCCTTTGGAACTCATGGCCCCAATAACAGACACTAAGTACGTGCCGTTGTGTGTCTCCTAGGATGCTTTGCAGCAGTCTTTCTCTTGGAGCAGGCTGGAGAAAGCCTGGAACTTCTCATCTGTCCTCTGGAGTCATCAGAATCTAATCACAACTCCTAGGTTTCCCTCTCTAATCCTAGCTGCAGCTCCCTTCTACCATGTCTGTGGTTACCATTGCCTACTCCACTTGTCTTCCCTTTCTTTTCCCAATTTGTGCTGCCCACTTTTTAAACCCTCTGCCTTAAAGCAGCACTCTGTACCAACCAAAGTCTGCCTTGTGGTGTGCCACGTTCTCCAGCTAGACGTATAGTCTTCTGAGAAATTTATTTCAGAGAATGAATCCCAGTGAGTGATGCTTTCCACTCCGGTCATTGTGGGCAATGAGGCCCTAGGAACATGACCACTGCACCCTGCTCCCTAGAGCTTCCAAGGTCCCCATCCTGGGGTTTTTGATTGTGCTGAGGCTGTCCAAGGGGAGTCTTCTCTGCCCTTGCTGCCTTGGGACACTTAGCCTTTTAGGCTACACGTACCTGAGAGGTCATGCTGAGAAGCTACCCTATATTTGACCTGACTTTGCTCCTTTCCTTTCCCTCCTTTTCCTTTCTGGCTGATTTTTTGTGCAGTTCTGTGGTAGAAGGAGTTGCCTCTTATTGGATTTCTTGATCATTATTTGGTCTGGTACACACTTCAGGAGTAGGTGGGTATATGAGAGCTCAGTGGCCTTCCTCCCATTCAGATAGCTATCTTAGCAGGAAGTCATGACACTGCCTCTTCATCAGTCCAGAGGAGTCAATAGGTCAATAGCAAGAGTGAAATATGAACAATTGTCCTTTCCAGTGCTTAAGGTAGGAACAAGTAAAGGAAATCCCAGCCTTGATCATGCCTGTCCTACTTTTCTAGTGCTTTGGGAGAAAGGGAAGATGAGAGGACAGGAAGGTCTTCTACCAACTGCTGTGGGACTGACTTAAGGCTGTCAAAAGAACCAGACCACTGCTTTCTCTGTCTGTGTCCGCTGCTTCTAGCATTGTTTTGACATCTGTGATTGGAGTAGCATTTCCTAGGGCCTAGCCATATAGGCCTTTAGCTTTTTCTGAGGCCTTACTCCCATTCAAGTTAGACTAGTTTTTTTTTTCCTTAAGAGGCATTAAAACTCTCTCTTTGAAATCTGATTGGCTAAAAAGACTAATTCAGGTTGTTGACATGATTCGCTGGTGCCTTAAGTACAAAATTCTAGGAGTGACAACTCCCTTTCTAAAACTTCTGACCAGGGATCAACAGCGTGAGCATTGCTGAGAAGTTGTGTTCAGCTAAATCAATGTAGGGACCTCACTGAATATCCTTGTTGAAAATTCTTCCTCTACTATGGCTAAGTATATCTCCTGTGAACTGTTGAATGACCTATGAGTGTCTCATTTTGTTCCATATCAGATCCTTGACTAGTACTCAGGGAAAGGAGAGAGGGGATACACATTATAATACATTCTATATCATTAATGTCCATTATGTATAAGATACTGTGCCGAGTGCTTTACAATTATTATCTCTTTGATCAGGGTGCTAGCCTTACCTTTCTCATTCACCTGAAAATTCTAGATTGGCTAAGAAAATAATAGTTTGATTGGATGAAGAGAGGATTTCAAGAAATACATTCTTCTTAAACTTGACTGGCTTGAATGATGGGAAAAAGGCAATCCTAGCCTCAAGCCAATTTCTAATATATTAAGGCCTTGGTGTCATCTACCAGAAAATTCTCATTGCACTAATTGACTGTAATGTCACATCTAAAAATCTTGTAGGAAAAAAAGGACAGGGTCACTTGCTCAGGCATCTCCTGTGTCATGTAGGATTTAAAAAATTCAGTGGAATTGTATTAAAAACAAAAGTGGTTTTTCTTTTATTTCTATCCATTCTGTTTAATAGAGATATTCTACGTGTTTTCAGGTATATTAGCTGGCACATAAATAATTTGTGTGGAACTTGAAAGAGAGAGAGAGGAAGAGAGAGAGAGAGAGTCACTCTTTCTGCAGTTTTGTTCTATGTCAGACTTCTGTCTATCATTGGGCAGTTTTCTATGAGATGCTGAGAATTAGTTACAATTGACCATCCATTAAATAGAGGGTACATTGTGAGTAGAGATGGTTTCTTTTTCTCTTTGACATTTTGCTGCTTTATTTTACAGTTGTCGGGTTTTTTAAAAATGGTATTATTCTTTTTTTTTTTTGGCTTTTATCTGAATTCATAATACACTGAGATTGGCAAATTAGGAGCAACGCTATCCTTTGAAGATATAGTTGCTGCAAGCTCTATCTCAAAGAGACAAGCAGAATAATTTCTAGCTATAAAATGGCACAATGGATTTGCAGAATTTATAAATGCGTTGGTATCTGAATAGCAAAAGCCCAAAGTATTTGAGTGTCCCCTGGGAGTATGAGAAGGTTACATAAGTCTCCCTATCTTTGGGCTAGTAAACACAGTGGCCACGATGTATATGTAGGCATCAGTGTCTGGTGTGTCAAATACAAATAGTGGTACTAATAATAGGTACTCATATTTCCATAGCTCTTTAAGGATTAGACTTTTTTCTTACCACTTGGTGAGGTAGGTATTCTTGCCTGGGGGGGGGGGTGGTATTACTAACTCCATTTCCAGATGAGGTTTTAGATGAACTAGTGCCCCCAGGGTCACATAATTGGTAAGTGTCCACACTGGGACTAGATTGGAGGTCTCCTGATTCCAAGTTCCAGCTCTTCTCACTGTATGTGCGATGATTGTATTCATTAACTAGGTTTGTTGCTATGTGCAAAACAAATTTGTTGACATAGTGTGAAACAAAAACTCTGAAGCAAAAACTGGTCTGTGCAGGTACACCTGGCTCTAAGTTCAGGGAACCAAGTTCCAAATACTTTTCAGATTTAATTGGATAGATGACAAGTTGTTTCAGGCGCTGGTCAAAATCAGAGCAACTTTTTGAGATGAGAAATAGAACAATGTCAGCTTTGGGACTGGCACAGGGAGTTTGTAGCAATATGACAAAAAGACTTCTATAAACTTCATAGAAATTGATGGCTACTAGTCTAACGAACCATGGATACAGTATATATTTTAAAAATAAATTGTATACATTAATATGTGTTAGAAATACTTATTTCAGTGAAAATCTAAATCCTTCTTGATAGGTTTTATTTTATAGAAGATTAAAGTAATAACAATAATACATTTAATTTGGTGCTTTACATGTATAATCTCAGCTGATCCCCACAAAAGCCACTGTGAGGTAAGCATTGGAAAAAGCGTTATCTCCAGAAGGCTCTGGGGCCTCAAATGACTGACTTCAACTTAATTATAGTGAGTGGTAATGCTAGGTTTGAACCCAGGTCTTTTGACACCAAAACCAACGCTCTTTCCACTATGACCACGTTGCTTTGAGTTAACCTTTGTCAGTGGTTAACCAAAGAATTTGCATGGGGATTCTGTTATAGCAAGAAAGGCATTTTTAAAAGAATAACTGGGGAGTGAACAGAAGATGTGCCAAGCTAGCTCAGCATTTGGGTCCTTTGTGCATTATAAGCCTCTGGTTACTTCTTCAGGGAACCCCCTTAATGGCCACTGGGCAAGTAAAGAGAGCTAATGACTAAGTGGTGAGCAAACGTCCATCTTGAGAAGGGCGTGTCCAGGCTCAGAGGTGATCTTGTGAGGGAGAGAGGTCTGAAGGTCCTGGGTCCGTCAAGCAGAGCTGACTGCTGGCAGAGAACATTTCTGCATCAGAAAAGATTGACTAAAGATTTGTAATGGAAAATGCTACCCACATGCAGAGAAAGAACTCTGGAGTCTGAATGCAGATGGAAGTATACTATTTTCACTCATTTTTGTTCTTTGTTTTTTCTTTCTCATGGTTTTTCCTTTTTGTTAAGATCCTTCTTTCACAACACGACTAATGTAGAAATATGTTTAACATGATTGTACATGTATAACCTATATCAGATTGCTTGGTCTCTTGGGGAGGGGGGGAGGGAGAAAAATTTGGAACTCAAAATCTTATAAAAATGAATATTGAAAAACTATCTTTACATGTAATTGGGAAAAATACTATTAAGTGCAAAAGAAAAAAAGAAAAGATTGACCACTTAGAAGAGTCAATGGAAGAGAGAATTAGGGGCAGACTCGTCCCCTTTTTAAAGGCCCACCGAGTCATCAGTTCTTCTTGATTGGTGTCCAATAATGGGATTGTTTCATCACCACCAAAAGCAAATCCTTCAGCCCTGAATCACATCTGGTGGGAAGCATCCAGGAGTATGTCACCCCCAAATGCCAAACTGCTGAGCGAGCTAGCATATGTGGTCAGGTGGAATTAAGGAGGGTAGCTTTGCACATGCCCTACTCAACCCATAGTAAAAATATGCACTGTATTTTTCACTTGGTTTTCAGTTCTTAATCGGAGGATAAGAATAGAACTCTTATCTCATTAGGCTCATGTTTAGGGCTAGGGGATATATTTTTTGGTGAAGTGTTTCTGTGTAAATTTAGCATTAATTAGTTTTTCTCATTGTGGTTATTATTGGCAGGTTTCTGTGGTCTCTTTTGTACCATGTGTCTTGAGTGTAACATTGCAAGACATTATGGAGAATGTTTATGTTGGCCATTATTACCCAACTCCACCCTTGCATTAAGAGTAGGCACCAGAGAGAGACATAAAATACGGGTAAGTGAAGTGAAGTGGTGTGTGCTTGGACATTGGGTCTTAAAGAAGCATTATTTTTAATACTCCTCTGGAAAGGGGAATAATGGGTGAATAGCTATGACTACAAAAGATGGGCAACTTGAATTTATGAAAATGAAAAAGGTTAATTTGCAGCATCGCTTTATTGTTAATTAAACTTTTCTCTATCCTGGGTTTTACTAGTAGCTCTATACCTATTTTTCTCTGGGACTGACAAGTCCGTTCACAGGTTTAGGGTGGTCGTGGTGGTGGTCAAGTATCTGAGTCAGACACTTCCTCTTGCCCTGGTAATTCAGTCATCAATTTAAAATAAGAAATAGATGTCAGTAAGCATCTTTTTCACAGTGAAGTGGAATTCAGAAAAGGAAATCAAAGGTGTTTTTAAAAATTCCCTCCATTATAGGAGACTAATTCTCCCAAATGGAAATTAGAATCATAGATTTAGTCCCACAAGGGACCTAAGTAAGTGGTTATCACTTATTTTAGAGGGGGCCACCTCCAGTCGTCCTGATTTATATCTTGACACTGGACCCAGATGGCTCCAGAAGAGAGTGAGGCTGGTGACTTTGCACAGCCCTCCCTCACTTAAATCTAATTCACTTGCAGATCATGACATCGCCTTCCTGATGTCATGGTCTTCTTCAAGAATGAAAGACAAACAACAAACAAGGAATGAATGAGCAAACTTATTTTACAGTTGAGGAAGCTGAGGCTCAGAGAGTCGAAGGGAGTTTGCCCAAGGTCACATAAGTAGTTAAGTGGCAGAGTCTGAATTTGAACGCGAGTCCTTTGGCTCCAGATCCAGCCCTCTCCCCACTGTATCATGCCTAATCCCAGAAGGCAGCATGACACAGTGAATAAAGAGCTAGCCTTAGAACTAGCAGGACTTGGGTTCAAGTCTTACCTCTGATACATACTGGCTGTGTGACCCCAGTCAAGTCACTTAAACTCTGAGTTCTTTGGCAATTCTCTAAACCTCTGAATCAGAGAGAAGGTTCAGACCTGAATTGGTAGAGGAAGTTTGCTTACCAAGGCGTTTTCCATACTACCGAAATCACAGGTTCAGGCTCCATTCTAATCCTTCCCTTGATAAGATATGCGGAGAATCCTGCAACTTACTACTCGTGTGACCTTGGGCAAATCGTTTAACATCTCAGCTTCAGTGTTTGCTCATCTGTAAAATGAGATGGTTGGGCTACCTTGACTCCAAGGTTCCTTCTGCCTCTCAACCTATGACCCTATGTCTTCTGAAAAAAACCAGTTCCATACATTAAAGGTCCAATACAATACAGGTGACTGATTAGAGAGGTATTAGTTCTCTCTTTCTCCCCCACCTCCATCCTTGTTATAAGGAATCCCATTGTCTTAGAAGTGAGTATATGTGAATGCATGTCCTGAATGTCCTGAGTTCTGCCCTAGGGCACTCTGTGTGAAGACTGGTTGGTTGTGCACTGCTGCTGGCCCCTTTCTGTCTGCCAGATGGCTCGGGAACTTAAGATGAAGACAACCCAAATGGATGAAGTCTGTGCAGCTCCTTCAACTCAAGGTTTTTGGGCCCCTGGAACTAAAGAGTTAATTGTTTGAAAGAAATATGTTTTTCCTTTTCCCCCAAAAAGCAGCAAACAACAACTTAGTGAGTAGAAAAAAATGACCCCACTTTCTCCGTAATTATTCAATGACATAGTATTAAAAATAAAATATTTTCCATATTGTATCTGTAGAGTTCTGCTCTCTTTCAATGAATTTGTCAATCCATGGATGTAAATTTTTAGAAGTGTTTCTCCAACTCAGCAGCCTTAGGAGATCATAGTTCCTTTTACTCCTCTTCTTATAGCCCCCTCCCTCCTTATGTGTTGTTTTCTGTCATTAGAATATAAACTCCTTGAGGGCAGGGACTGTTTTGTTGCTTATATTTATTTGTATTCCCATCCGTTAGCATAGTACTTATGACAAGTGCTGCCTCTAGCATCTCTGTCTCTCTTTCACCCACACACACACACACACACACACACACACACACACACACACACACACACACATCTATCCTTCCTTCCTTCCTCCCCAGCATCCCTACCACTCTTTCTTCTCAAGGGAAATCTGCAAGGCCCCGAATGAGAACCTAAACTTCAACATGTGACATTCTTCCAGCAAGCTGGTGAAAGAAGTATTTGGTCAAAGGACTTTGAGGAAGTCCAAGCAAATGTAATGGACTAGTATTATTTGTCCCTGCTCCTATCATCCTGAGGTGAAGCTAGCATTGCCCAGGCTGAGACAAAGATTGTCCTAACTCTCTTCTGTCCTTCTGCAGAGTAGATGTCTCGTTTAGCAATCTTGACTCTCTGGGATACCTTTTACATGTTTCTGGTAGCACGTTTGGGTAGATAAAGTCATTGGGAAAAGTCAAGCTCTACAGGGGCTATAGCTTATGTACATGGGATAGTCATCTTATCCTAGTTAGCTCCTAGAATAGCCAGCCACATGGCCTGTAGAGTCATGCCTCATCACGGTATAGAGATGATTCTTAGTTCTTGAAAGCTGTCTGGAACAAAAGCTCTGGTAGGTTGTGCCAAGGTAGAAAGACGTTGAATATGGTCCCAGTGCCTTTTCCTTAGTGACCCATCGAGTTGTATTCAGAGGGATTTTTTCACCAGAAAGTTGACCACCAGGTGGTGATGCAGGGTCTTTGTTTGTTTGTTTTCACAAGCACAATATGTAATTGCTTCTGACCTTCATGGTTGAAGGGAGTGCCCATACTGATGAAATCATTGAACCTTGAAGTTAATTAGTGGTACAGTCAGATTAAATGAAAATAAACCTTGTTTTATTATTTCATGCTAAAACACATCTCACAGTACAAGCGTACAGTTTGGAATAACATGCGTTTCTTTTTTTTTGGCACAGGAAACTCTGGGTACTTTTCTTCTTTAAGACTATCAAACCTAGTATGTGAGAAGCTGATTTTTCTCCCCGTGCCCTGTTTTTGGATACAGTTCTGTATCTGCCCAATGTATTGAGGTGGAAATGTATCCTGTAGTACAGTTAGGGGAAGCTTCTTTCTCAATTTTCTCACTGTGCAGCAGTATGAGCAGAAACCCCACCATTTTGTTGGTACCACAAGCATAAGCCATAAAACCCTGGGATTTTAAAATATTCCAATTGCCATGAAAATATAAAGTAGACAATGGAACACACACACACACACACACACACATATATATATAGAAAACAAGAGGGAGAGTGATTCTGAAGGGAGGTAAGAAGGGTATGGTGCCTTTTAGTTTCCACTCAAGAAGACAACAGTGAGATGGGGTGGGAAGGAAGAACCACTTGACAAAAAAAATGATGCCTCCTCCGTGGGAAAAAAATAAAAGATCGTTCAAATAATAATGTACATTAGACAAAAGACAAATAATAACCCTGGTGTTGAGTACAAAATTTCCTCAATTTACTGGAGAAAATCAATAGGAATACCTTGAAGGAGTGACCCACTATTAAAGCCCCTACCTCGTAGTTCTTTGCCATTATGTCCTCTTGGTTTCCTGGGTGTCAAATGCAAAACTGAATACACAATGTGTCCGGTGTATTACTCTACAGACTTGCAAAGTGGTCAGTGATTCTGCTCTCTGGTTTTGGGTGCCAGTGTCAAGAAAGGCTGGTGTGTGATGCTTGTTCCAATAAGGATGTCTGCACCAAAGACTGAATTCAATGAGGACATCAGCCGTTCCCAGTCCTGGATCCCATCCCTCGAGACACCTAGAACTTTTCTTTTTGTAAAGCTACGATAGAGAAAGTTTAGGAGGTTTGGAATTCACTGTGTGTCTTCCTCCCCTCCCCACTCCTCCACAGTAAAAGTTCTCGTTTCTATATTCTGTAATGGTGAAGTATTTATTTACACAGCTGTCCACACTGATGACCAGAGGATGCTGCTGATATAACAAAAGTGATTCACGTACATGTAAACTCACCAGTATTTTTCTCTGGTCTCTTAAGCAATAATACTGTGTCTGAAAAAGAACAGAAGCATTTCTAGCTCCAGTGGCTACTCTGCTCCCATACCAGGCAGTTTACTCTTGGAGTAGAAAGTTCCTTTTCTCTTTTCTTTCTTCATCTACTCTCTTCTTCCTCCTCTGTTCCCTTAGTCTATAATAATAATGATGACGATGATGATAACAATTAATTATAATGATGATGACGATAATAAGCAACAGACCAGAAGAAATGAAACCACCAAAGTCCATGATAAACAAACTACTTAAGGCTGAGAGCCCGAGCTGACCTCATTTTAAACTCACTTCCTTGATCTTTTCTCCTCCTTTCCTTGGCCTTATGGATTCTGTACTGTAGGGCTGTCAGTAAGAACTGCATCCCTTAGGGGATGGCAAGTATTCACAAGTTTTCTGGCTCCTCTGGGAACAGATCAGATTCTTTTGTACTTTTGAAAACATTTGGTTCATTAGCTAAACAGTTATGGGAGAGAAACAAAAATCCATGAACCTTCCATTTGAAAGTCATGGGGGAAATGCGGAATGCTAAAAATACTGCATATAGGACAGTTAGGAAGAGGGATTTCTTGGTGGTCTAATAATGAAAGGGTGATGCTCGTGCACAAAGGTAGAGACATCTCTCATCTATAATACAGGAACAATAACAAATCCTAATAATGCTGTGAAAATCAAATGAGATTTTATATATATGCATATATACATGTCCATATGTATATGCATATATGCACATATATATACACATATATAGTACTCTGTACTATGCCCTGTTTACTCTGTAAATCCTGAAGCACTATATAAATGTCAGGTATCATTGTCATCATCATTATGATAATGAGGAGGCAATAAAGAACTGTGAAATATACTACATTGCCTAGTGGTTAAGGTGCCTAGAAGTTGGGTTGTTTCCCTTAGCTCTTTCAACTTACCAGAGTCAACTGTGATTGGTAAAATATTCTCGGTGTTTTAGATGAGGTTACAGTTGTGGCAGGCAGGGTTTGGTCAAAACAAAAGTTACTATTTTCCTGGCACCATGAACTATTTCTGAGGCAGGAAGAGACTGCAATCTCATTTCATCATCACTAAGGAGATGGGGCCAACTCTTACTTATCCAGGGGATAGTTACATAGCTGGTCCTCTTAATGACAGCAGTTTATACAGCAGTCACTGTCAGCAATGTCACTGTCAAAGGGATATACTATATAATGACCCTGTTTGTGGATTTGCTTGGATCCCACTCACTTCCTGGCCAATACTGCTTGAATTCTTGCTGCTTGCTGCAATCTTCATCTGACATTAGCCAAGGGGATGGAGAGACTGCAAGACTCAGTATTCTATGGGCTCATGATTCCCACTGGTTTAAGGATGATAGCAAGCTTGACCCTACAATGGCTAGTTGAAATATTGATGAAAGCTCTGTTTTCATCACAGATCTGCAAATCACAAACTGCAGTCCTTCCTATGCTTGTCTGTGTTTCTAATGGCTTGCCCCTGGTCACAAGTGGGAGGGGATAAAAGAATGTAGCTGGATCAATGCAAATCCATCATCACTACTAGAAAAAAAAAGTAGTCAATGTACTCTACTGATGGTGAATTATAAGGTTATCTTTGTATACATAGGCTAGAATGTGCTTTTTAAAAAGCTCTTCTATAGGGCAGCTAGGTGGCACAATGGATAGAGCACTGGCCCTGCAGTCAGGAGGCCCTGCGTTCAAATCCAGCTTCAGATACTTGCCACTTACTAGCTGTGTGACCCTGGGCAAGTCACTTAACCCCATTGCCTAACCAAAAAAAAAAAAAAAGCTCTTATAAAAGTTTCAAAGGAAAGGAGAGGCTAAAAGCTTAGGCTAAAAAAAAGTTTTTGGATTCTTCAGAAATTTAATTTATCCATTCTATACTGCCTGTCCCCTCCTCCCAGCTAGTATGGATAACTCAAATTTTGCATTATAAATTCACTTTCTTTATCTTTAGGAACTTTTTTTTGCAGGTCTTTCTGCTGACTTAGATCAGAATAAAAGGTGATATGTGGATAGGGCACTAGACTTTGAGTTAGAAAAACCTGGTTCCAAATCCTGTCTCAGATGCTTACTAGCTGTGTCACTTAGCTTCTAATATGCCTCAGTTTCATCATCCATAAAATGAAGGTGTTGGACTTGATGGCATCCAAGGTCCCTTTCCAGTATAAATAAATGATCCTATGAACCTATAACTTGTTCCTGAATAAGAGGAGATGAGAGGCAAAATGGAAACAAAGACCTAAGTTTTTTCTAGTTTTGCCTCTGACATACTGGCTGTATATTTCAGGCAACTCTTTAAGACTTTTAGTTATACATTAGTTCTTGACTGGCATTGGTGGGAGGAATTTCCATACCAGGAGTTCCTGGTGAAATTGAAGGTTTGGACCAAAGAGGAGATGTCCAATTGCAACTGCTTTTCATCCTCCACTTAATTCAAATATTGACCATAGCAACTGGTCACGTCCTCATTACCTGATTGTGTTTTGTTTTTGCCCAAGATTGTTCATTACCAGTGTCCTCATTTCTTTGATCAAAATACCCCAGTTGTAGAGAGTACCTTGCCCAGAAGGCATCCAGATGGAAAGAGCACTTTTGAAACCACAGGAAAGTGGAATGGAAGAGAATAAGGCTTCAGATTCAGGGCCTAAGGATGCTAAATGTGGAGTCAAGGGAAGAGGAGGGGGATTAGGGACATTGTGAAG